TATTCAACTTATCTCCGCCCGAACGCTGTCATGTTTGATTATACAAAACACTATTTTTCTTTTATTGTATGACTCATTATGATATTTATAGGAAAGTGATTTGCCGAAGTGCTCAAAACCTACGTGCTCTTCTTTGGCATTTTCCCTGTTCACCTTCACTTGTTCGTCGCTTTCTCTCCCAACTAGCTCTCTTTTTCCGTTGCATGCGTTCATTTGTCAAGTGCCAGGAGAAGACGACTCATGCCTTTTTTCCCTGTGAAATGAATATACCAAAGAAGATGATAATGTAGGGCTCATAGGATGTCGGTAACTCAGCAAAATAGTTTATTTGCTGTTTTTTTGACATTTCAAGTTGAACAGTGCTTTCGCAAATTCATTATTTACTCGATTTGATCCTATCAGCTATATAATATTTGTACTCATGACAAAACTGTCGTGACGCTCTGAAGATGATGTGAATAAACATCGCAATAGCAAAGTAATTTTCGCCTTAGGTATTTTCTTGGACACATCTACTCCGTAAAGAGATCAGGTAGAAATTAAAAAAAAATTCTTATCGATATAATAAATACTAATGTCAGAGTCACACTTTCTCAAATTTACTCTTGGAATCAACCCAACTCTGAGAGCAAATTAAAAACATCCCAGGCTGGATCTAGACCCGTAATCCTAAAATTTTTGATTCCAAGTTCTCATTATTGCGATTTTTATTTTTATTTTTTTTTTTTTTTTCAATGAACTTTTTTGTACGATAAGTTTTTATAACTTAGAAATAAATTCGGGAATAATCGAAATTAAATGCGAAATCCAGCAAAAGTCACCCGTGAAATAAAAATAATTGTTTGTAAGGAAAGTAAGGACCTACGTACATCAAGTTTTCTTAAAATTAAGTGGCGGCGGGAGAATTATCATTGAACTTTTAAAAGGTAAGCTTAAATATTAATGCAGTACTCAAATGCAATGATCAATTTTGAGTTCTTTAGTTTATTGATGCCTATCGCATCTACACCTCCCTACCTATTATGATGAAGGCCTAATAAATATCCCTCCGCAGGACCTGGCTTAAATGCCACCCAATAGGGCGGCTTTTAAGCTAGTACTGTTGATATAATGTAGACAGTCAAGGAATTATACCCTTCGACACATGCACAATAGTTTGTGCAGCGAGTGACACACAGACATGTTTGTTTGTCGCATTCGGTGTTTATCGTTATATTTCCATAATATATATGTTCATTTCACATTAATTACTTTGGGAAAGGCATGAGACGTCTTCTACCTGTTCTGCTTCATCTCCCCAATATCTAAAAATGTTTATTTTTGGCACGCCACTATAGTTCAGAGGCTGTATAATATTTGCGCAAACTAATCTTTGTTCAAATCATATTAGCAAAGAGTGGACATTGCACCCGTCAAGACTTCTTATTCTAAACGTTATTTTAATGGATACACATAAATGCCATGTTTTGTTTTAATTTATTTTTGTTTTAATTTATTTTTGTTTTTTTTTATTTTTTTCAAACAATGTCAATTTCGTCTACCGATCTGCATATTCGAGATGAAAAAAAAAAAAGAACGTCAGAACCCAGCAATACCTGTGGCCAAGCAGACTAAATCAGGCCGTATCCGAGGGTGGTACCCCTTAAAATGTGGGGACGCAGGCTCTAACTTCACTGGAGAATACATTTTTTTATATTCAGTCTCTTGAATGATCATGCTGCTAGATGAAATTCAGACTGTTAAAAAAAAAAAAAAGAAAAAAAAGTGGGGGCGCCCTCCAAAATTACCGTTTTAAGTAAAAACAAAACAAAAGAACTCTCTCTCTCTCTCTCTCTCTATATATATATATATATATATATATATATATATATGGGTTAAAATGCCTAATATCAGGGATACAGGTTATGTAAATATAAAAAGCGAACAGTGAAGTAAAATCACAATGGAAACAGCCCGTTACATGCTAAAAGCAATCGCTAGGCATGACACTTCCTCTCGTGGTCTACTTCAATGTTTACACACATATATATATATATATATATATATATATATATATATATATATATGAAATCAATTTTTGAATTAAATATTGCTGTTGGTGGGCAACAATATTTTTAAAATATGTATTACCCTATACACAAGTGTACAAATATCAATTTTTAAATTATGACTAGGAAAAAAATACCCGTATGTGCATCTATTGTAAGTTTGTGTGTGAACCTTCTAGTCCACAATAACCCGTGAAAGGACTTAATTCAAACGGACACACCCTCCTTCTCATTTATTTGCTCTCTATACCAAACTGTGTTCGCACAGAGTTTAAGATTTCACAATACAATTTCAGTATCAAGATTGTCTCGTTTCCTTCCACGTTCGCTTGACTGATTCTTTTCTTTTCTTTTTTTTCTTCAATTCCTTCATTATTTGCTTCCACAATGGCATTCTTTCTGTATTATACTTGAATCCCCCCTCTTTTCGCTTATTAAATGGAAGGCGTTAGGTTCGCACCTGGAACAGGTTGACAAAGGACGTAGGTTCTTTTACTCTTTCCTTTTCTTTTTTTACTCTTTTCCTTTCCTTTTTTATTCTTTCCTTTCTATATATATATATATATATATATATATATATATATATATATATATATAGTGGTTTCATAGTCTGAATATTGTAGAGGGGGCTGAGGCGACTGTGTTGCGATGAGTAGTGATACATCACCTTTATAGAAATTTCCATAATTGCTAACAAAAAAAAACAAAAAAATGATACTCATTGTCTATGGGAGAGTGATTCGTCAAAATTCGCCAGTCTCTGCCATTTTTGTTCGACTGAAGATCAAGGTGTAAGAATTATTGTAGATTGATTCTCTTCATTATAGTAGCTAATATATTTTATAGGATCCGGCAGAATTTTGCAGTCGACATGCCGGCAAAAAATAATCAATTTTATTTCCACATCACTATAGATTCTTCTAGATGTCGTTTCCCTTCAGGACGCTAACGATTATGGCTCTTCGCAATTTCCCGTATTTTGTAACGCTTAATAAATTTTCTATCTTTCTTATCTCTCCTAAACTCTGTCCTGCCATCCATTTCCTGAAGATAGCTCGGTAGGTTATGTGATGTTTTCTTCTGTTTCTCTTGCATTCAATCTGTCCTGTGTGTATCAAATTTTCCAATCCCTCTTTCCTCGTGTGCTCTAGGAATTTCGACTGTTTCTTCTGGATGTTAAGCATAAGTATCCTGTTTGTTTACATTTTCTTTACATAGCCAAAAGAGCATGCCGCTAACTTTAATAAAAAATTATCTCCCCCCACCTAACAAGATATTTCGTGTGCTTAATCTGATGTGATATGGGGGCGGGGAATCGAAAAGAAAACAATATTTATATGGTTGCAGTGCCTGCTGTACAACTCCAACAGAAATGCATGTAAAAATTTTGTTTTAGTTAATAATTCCCAGCCTATCAGAAAAAAAAACGTGTGTGGATGGGATGGAGGTAAACTAAAGAACAATGGAAATCTAAAATTATCCGCATTTTTCGCCATAACAATATTTTAAACAGTACTATTCATCCTGTACAAGGCCTAGGGGCTACACGAGGGAGAGTGTTACGTTAAGGGACAGTTTATACGAATAAGAGTGAAAGATAACGGTTAACCTTAGACTTGAACAAGTTAAGATTGTAAGAATCGGGGAAACATTCTCTTGGGCGTCTGTTCCACAATGCAGTGGTTCGTGTGAAGAAGCTGTTCGAGTTGAACTTAGTTCTCACCATTGCAATACGGAGTGGATGTGGTTGGTTTGCTACAATGCAAGTGGCATGGCGGGCCCGAGCCATGAAGGTTAGATCAAGCGGAACCAAGAAATATTGTTCCTCCGAACACTTTCCATGGAAGTACCAATGGAAAACATCTTTAGGTTTGCTACACTGCATTCTGCTTATGTGTGGTACTATTGAGCTCATGTAATCGAAGTGTGAGCTTGATCGCGCCAGCTTTCTTGTTGCTGTTACAGTGTAAACATGGCCGCTCCGATAGCAGTGTACACCGAGCAACAAAGTGCATTTATCCGAATCTGCATAGAACATGCTACCTCATCGTTGATAACACGTTGGTTCCTCATTACAATCTTTCTAGCTTGCTGTACCTTTTCATTGGTGGAGAATGACGGACGCAGTGCTCATTCTTCGTGCGTCACGCTTCTCCGGCCTCTCATAAACCTCTCGAATCACTCATACACACGTATTTCTACGCGGTAGTGCACTGTTGCCGTATTGTGTTAAACGCCTCCGGTGAAATTCAGCCCCTGGCACATAGTCCTACCACAGATATCTGATCAATGATATTTGCTCTGCTTGCGGAGCGGCCATATTTACAGTGTAACAGCAGCAAGGAAACGGGTTGGATCAACCTTAAACTTAGATCACGTGACCACCAATAATACCAATAAAAACTATAAGCGCGCATGAGCAGAAGTCAGCGTGACAAACATGGATATGTAATGGCGTAAGTGGGAATAATTTTCGACTTGCTCTCCTATTTAGTTCTTGTTAATTATTATCTAGCATTTTACATAAATTTTATCATTTCATAAATAAGAAAACGGAGTAGATGTTGATTCACTGCAGCTGTAGATACCAAAAAGCTACATCTGGGTAACAAGATTTGTGTTAGAATAGCAATCGGAAAATAGATACATTCACTGTAAAGTACAGGTGGACGGAATACGCCCGGAAGCTTTATAAAATAATCTCGTATATTATAGTAGATAGTTCGATATATGGTTTGAAGAAGTGTCCCCTAGCTATGGACTAAGTAGCAGAGCAGCCTGTGCTCTGTAGTACTGTTTGGCAACCGGTCTAAGAAAATTCAAACTGAATTCAAACCCAGTCACCTGAAGCTATACGAAGATGGCTGCCGATACTATATCTGTAAAACGATTTCAACAATCATGCATGATTACATTGGAGAGCGGTTATGCATAATGTTGTTGACACCAACGGGCATTGAACCAAAAAAAGAAGCATTGATCGATGCACAGATCCGTTTGAGCTGATTTAAAAGCTATGAGTTTAAATGTTGATTCTTTAAAGGCCTGCTGAAGAGAGAATATAGAATCCCGGTGAGGCTTCAACGGCTCTTCGAGAGTGCGAAGCGTCAAAGACAAGTCTCTGTCGCTGATTGCATAAGGACTGTCCGGAAACAATTCAAAATGATGACTGCTTCGCATTCAGCTTACTCTATTAAATATGAGGTTATTATTGAATTCAGCTTTCAAAAGAATGTTTCTAGTTGTGACGTCTTGTTTCTCCTAATTTTATTGACCGATCATTGGTATATTTTTTTTGTCTTTGTCGATGTTGTCCGCCATTTGTATTGTTCTACATCTCGTAACACCGCTCCTACACCTTTTTCTTTTCTTTTCTTTCTTTTTCACACTCAAACACACAGTCTATAAATTTATCGGCGAATCGATGGACCGCTGAATAGTTTTGTTTACTAATCATCTAATTGCTTGATATTTTTTTTTTATTCGCGTTGTATAATAGCCACAATTTTTTCCCCATTATTGCATATATCTAACTCCCCACTCTCTCTCACATACATACATTATATAATATAATATAAAATATAATATATATATATATATTATAAAATATATATATATATATATATATATATATATATTTTTATATATATATATAATTATATATATATATATAATATAATATATATATATATATATTATAATATATATATATATATATATATAATATCTATATATATATTATATAATATATATATAAAATATAATATATATATATATATATATAATATAATATAATATAATATATATATATATATATATATATATATATAATATATATATATATATATATATATATATATATATATATATATATATATATATATATATATATATATATATATATAATATATATATATATATATATATATATATATATATATATATATATATATATATATATATATATATATATATATATATATATATATATATATATATATATATATATATATATATATATATATATATATAATATATATATATATATATATATATATATATATATATATATATAATATATATATATATATATATATATATATATATTTATATAACCCCGGATATAAGAGAGTTGTCGGGACCGGAGAAGTCTCTTATATCCGGGTTTCTCTTATATCCGGGTTTGGTCTATTTTATATACATTAACACAGGCTCTAATATGGGACCAGAGAAAATCTCTCTTATATCAAGGTTTCTCTTATATCCGTGTTACACTGTAATATAATAAAAACACGTTGAAATCATCCGTTACTTAACATGAAAGGTTTTGTGTAGCGATTTCAACATGTTTTTATTATAATCTTATATATACAGACAGTGAGAGAGATATATATATGTGTGTGTGTATATTAGGGAAATCTATGACAAAGTGGAAAACTTTTTGTCTGGCACGTATCGTTCTCCGGGCCAAAGTGATGTTTTCATTGATATGATTACTCATGTGCATGGAGAAGAGGGGACGTTGAAGTTTTAAATTTATTTAATGTATTTGATCTGATGTCATTTAGTTTCTTGTTTTTTTTTTTGTTTTTTTTTTTTTTAATCACTTTTGCTATTAAATATCCACATTGTGCTAATAGATTTGCTAAGAAATGTGAAAGTATTTGTTACTCAGAATCTTTATACTTCTAAGAGATGTAGAGTGTCTTGCCTTATTTGATTTCGGCTTCTTTTACTAAGACGATATTTTCATTTTTTTTTTTTTTGTTTTTTTTTTTCCTTCCCTTTTTTTAACGAGCTATTTATGTAACCCGGATATATAAAACAGATACATTAAAAAAAAAAGTCCATTCTCTCATGGCGCAGAAAATACTAACTGCATGCGTAGAAACCAAACAGATGCTACTATTTCTATGGTACATTTGGTGTGTGAACGCATCTATGTTCTGCTAGAAAACATTTGCGAAACATTAATTTCATAGGCAGTCTATACGGTAAAAATTGGGTGTATTTTGGGGACCCTCACAGAAGAATTTGTAATAGCCTACTCTTGGAGGATGCTGGTCTGTTTGCAGGAAGGTGAAAATTGTTTGTAAATAAATATCACTTCAACAGCACTAGTTGGGGCTTTAGCTTTTTCCCCCTAAACAGAAGACTAATTTTATCGAATTGGCTTCAATCTATGACAATGCAATGTAGCTGAGCTGTATCCTTTTATTACTATTTGTTTTACTTTAATTCAATCAATACAAGGCTGAACACCCTCTCAACGTAGAGGGTTACAGAGTGGAAATGTTGTGATGGAGAAGTAGGAAACAGGAAGTGAATATTATGAGGATATGTAGGATAGATAACGGTTCTAACCTGGACGTGAAGAGGTTAAGATTGCAGTTATCAGGGAAGCATCCTCTTGGGAGTTTGTTCTATGATACACAATTTCCTTATTGCGTTT